AATAGCAGCTGTCTCCTTAAGAAAGTTTGCTTTTTGACATTGATATGTTGGGATGACTTTTCCGATAGCCTAGTATTTTGAAAGGTAAGTGGCAGATGGAATAAAAAAATGTATAGTCAATCAAATTAATTTAGAGTGTGTACTACTTATTTATGCATGCAAAGTTCACATAACAATGTGACTTAAACAAAGACTGCTATATTTTACCACTCTGTAATAAACAAACAAAAATAAAAATCAATGTATCTGTTGAGGAAGACCTCCAAAAAAGGAATAGAACGGGACCATCAGTTAGCGTAATGGCTATGTCGCTGGACTCCCACGTAGTCGACCGCGGTTCACGTCCCAGACCTGGTGGCTTAAAACTCACACCGGACACGTGTGCGTGCGTGCCCAAGATCCCGAGAGGAGAATGGAGGAGAAGGGATTGCGGCGTGGCCATCCCCCTGGGGGGGTGATTTCTCGCTTCCTGTCTCTCTGTCTCTCTCTGTCTGTCTGGTGAGCGCATGCACCCTATAGTGAAAACCTCTCCAACAAAAAACAAAAAACAAAAAACAAAAAAAAACAAAAAAGGAATAGAAGTCCAAATGGATATTATGGGTATTTTATTTGCATCCAATCAAGAGGGAATCTTGGTGTCCATCTAATTCTTGGTGTCCAGAATTAGAAAGCACTGGGTTATCTTATAGGCACAAACTATAATTCTCCTTATCAATTTTATTATCTCTTTAAATGTCGAAGAGGTTAGTTAATGTATATATAGGGCTAAAATTTAAAAAAAGTATGTCTGAATTTTTCCTTACATTTCACGTAGTGCATTTATAGTTTCCGCGATACATAAAAAGTGACTCTGTTTTAAGGTTATTTTTATTCAGCAATTGTTAGATGGACATGGATATTCTAGTAATGTCAGGAAAGGCACTGTGGCCCCAAATAAAGGAAGCACTATGGAATTATAAAGGTATAGGGAGAAAAGGATTCAGTTGTCGTTAAATTCAAATTTTCGGTCTTTTACAGAATTCTAAGCTTCACAGTCATATCTTTCCATTGCCCAATGTCCAGATAGGTTTGGTTAGACAAAATGTTCATGTCAAAATTACTTGAAAAACTGCACCAAAAATATAACTTTTCTTAAACAGATTAGACAATTTGAGATTAAATTTTAAAAGATATCAAAATTTGACATAAAAATTGTGCAGTCTTTGCAACTAAACTTTTCTCTGAAATGCATATGAAGAAATCAATTGACAATGCAAGTGAGGTTTACAGTCTTTCAGAACTGGTCGTGATAAAAGATTCAGGGCCTCTGTGATGGCATGTAATTCAGTCTAGAAGCCAAGCATCGGCAATGAAATGATCCAGTTCAAAAACTGAATACGTAAATTACCAAGCAGATGTACAATTATCGTCACTGTGCTTAATAAGCAGGTATAAGTCAAAAGATAAGCTTGCAGTTACAAAGATGCAAAAAAGTAAAGAGTCACTAAGATAATTCCCAATAAGCTAAGCTAATTACTATTTATAGGTTATATTCTCATTGATTATGTTTGCCTTGCACAGACTGCTAATTAAATTGTCTCGTGGGTATAAGACATACTTATGTCCTTAATGTGTTGATCAGATCATTATTTTAGTCACTGCCTTCTTCACATCTATAAATACTGACTGACTATATGTTTATGTTGTACACTTAGAATGATTTGCTTCTCTTTGCTAGTTCATCATCACCTCAATAAGGTACCTAATTACCATGGTATCATCTAGCCCAGTAAAGTATATATATTTTTAACAGGATGGAATACATTCAGAAAAAAGGGTAGGTAATAATAGTGTGGAAAATACATCTAATTTTCTACTGAAGGATCACAGAGTGCTAAAATAGTTAATAGCTTTCTTTGTTCTTTAAACACGTTTGCTTGTTTTTTCATGTTTTTTTTTTTTCCTAAAATTTCCATTATATTCCATGAACTCTTGGGCATTTATAAATGCCATACACGCATATATTTCTTAGGGATATATAAATGTTCAAGCATTTATAATGCAAAATAAGAAGAGGTTATTAGACAATATCCATAGAATAGAAATTCATTATAGAATAAGCAGTCATAATAATCCCTCAAGTGTAGCAGCCGATAGATAACTGGGCTCTCCAGGCAGGGGCCCTTGGCTTTCTTCTACACTGATTCTGGAATCTAGTTTAAGGAGTAAAGAAAGTTCTAAGTCCCCCTTATAGTTTAAGTCCAATTAACAAAATATGTTTTTGCTAGAGGGTGAGTGCTTGTCCAAGTAAGACAGAAAGAGGAGAGAGAGAGAGAGCAAGCGAGAGGGAGAGAGAGACTGCACTCCCCAGAGGATATGGTCAAGCTGCAATGTCTTCTGCATTTCTCCTTTCAGAAGTTTGGGAATGCATGCACATGTGCCTAGTCTATTTTACAAACTGCTGGCTTGAGGACGTGACCTGCACAGTAGGCCATCTGAGATCCAGCCACGTTAACCACCATGCCACCAGCTGGCTTGTTTAAGTCCAATTTTAGTGCTTGAGGAAGAAAGAGAAGCTTGGGCTTGTATACATTAAGGTACAAATTTTTCTAAAATTTCATCTGATATGGAACCAAATATCTCACTGTTTGTGATGTATAATTATTTTTAAGGTGATAGAAACTATATGCACACAATTTCTGTACTGTATAATGTGGTTATTTCAAAATATTTCAGAATATCCATACTGGAATTCCAGCTCATGTGCATGGTAGTTAGTGAAGATAAATTGCTCACCATTAATAGTTTTCTGATTGGCTTAATTTAAAATATTCTTGTTTGAAGCAGGGTTCATAGAGACAAATACTATTTTAGAATGCTAATTACAATATAATTTTTCTTTTTGTTTTTAGATTTTTGCCCTAGCAGACCTCAGTTTTGCAGTTTTACAGAGTCTATAAGAATTGAGACATCGTATTCACACATTTTTGGATTCAGTCATATTTGCCTTGCCACTACTGTCTTGAGTAGAGGCTGTTAGAGTAAGATGATGGTAAGTTACAATGGGAGAGTGATCACTTTCCTACCATTCGGCTAAGATCAAGTGTAATGTGAGAAGAAAATTACACCTGAGGAAAGTATAACACTTTTGAGATGGAGAGGCTTCCACAGTACCAATGCTATTGTTGACAAATTGTCTCACGGCTGATATTTTTACATTCCAAGTTTCAGGGTTAAAAAAAAGACATTCTTAATATCATCAAATATGAAAACTACTGGTGTCTGTGAATTTCTTTTGGAAGTTTGCATGCTTATGCTTATTATATTTCTGTTTGCTTCTGGCAGAATTCATTTAATTTAAACAATACTGGAAAACTTTAGAAATAAGATATGTGAAGGATAGAAAAATATACTGAGGTATTTCAGAGACATATTATTGAGACAATGTCGTTTATCATTACCTCAAACCCTTCAGCTAATTCTCAGGCAGCATAGACAATATGTCTTGTTCTGCTCTTCACTATAGGAACATATTTCTGTGGTTTTGATTCACACATGCCAAATGAAGAAACATATTATTTAATGTTTGGATGTACAGTCCTCAAACTAAGTACACATTAACAAATTCTTCCAGTTATGACATTCATATATGTCAAACATATTTTCACTGTCTAGCACTGATAGAATAATATAAATTATATATAACTGAGGGCAGTTTAGTCTTTTGCTAGGAAAAATTGATGAGCACACACATACACACACACACACACACACACACACACACACACATTCGTTTTCTGTTTTGAAAGAGAGATTTTTTGTTTTAGAGTATGTATGCTCGCCATAGAGAGAGAGAAACAGAAACAGTGAGAGAGAAAGTGAGAATCACCCTCCAAGGGGGATGGCCATGCCACAATCCTTTCTCCTCCATTCTCTTCCTGGGTTCTTGGGTATGCACGCACATGCACTTGGCATGCTTTTTAAGCCACCAGGTCTGGGACTAGAACCGTAGTCAGCCATATGGGAGTCCAGTGATGTAACTGCTATGCCATCTGCTGGCCCCATATATTAAAAGCCTATTTTTAAAAACTATAATTGGGTAAACTAAAGTGCAGTAACAATGAAAAGTTTTAAAAGGCAGTTTATGCTTTTAGTTTGAGAAAGGTTGAAGGTCAGAAAAATAGTACCATCTGGTTCAAGATCTGGATTATTTTTTTCTACCTTAAATCTGAGTTAATTATTTTCTTAATATTTAAACTCATCTCTAGGAATAATCTGGCACACCAATTTTCCATTCAATGCATCTGACCAATATTGAAATATCTACAAAGCATTCTACAGCATTTTCAAAGGCAACACTGACAGTAAAAATACTTAAAAATTAGTAAAACTGAAAATGAATCAGAGTATGGTTTCATTTAACCAAGAACACTATCATACATTTGCACCTAAATACATAGCACAAAATAAGTTAATGCTCCATTGTAGTTAAATAATCCTATGGAGTCATCGATAAATTTTAAGTAAAAATTTCATTTAAAATTATTCACATCTTGTGAAGGACTTGCATTTTGAAATAATTAAATCAGAAATATAAAAACAATTCTCACTTTATAGAAATGAATTATTTGTATCATTTAGAATTAAAACCTTCCCTCCTTATATTTGAAGATAGGAATCTGAATTCATATATTTTGATGGGAAAGTGGTTCTTATTCAAAAAGCTTTCATAAATCCATTTTTGTTATCACTGAACTCATTTTTATCAAAATGTAAACTCATTAATCCTACTGAATTGTAAAATCTTGTTCTAAACTAAAATATAAAAGTCTTACTGAACTTTGTTCAATTGTATCAAAACATTAAACATAATCATGTACAGACAATTAAGCTGGCATTAAAATTCTAACAAAAACAAGGATGCTGGTTTGAATTTTTCAGTGTTTAGAAATAATTAAAAATACATAGCTACAACACTTATTTATAAATGATAATGTTGTTTGCAGTATTTTCACCTTCGTTTCTAGAGATATAAAGTTTAAGAAAAGAGGATTTAGTATGTAACATGATCTCTTAAGTGTTTTAAGTTCCCATAGAGGGAAATACAGTGTTCTAAACAAATACATTTAATATTCTCAACAATAAAGTCTTTGATTTTATTCTGCTAATTTGTTCTAACATGTTTCTTTTGTAGTCTTTGTACATACTATCTTCTACTATTGTGAGCACATTTTCCACTGAGTTAACTAATATATTCCTATCTTCTAACTACAGTATAAGAAAATAGTTTTAAATCTCAAGGTATTTTTTTTCATTCATTATCTTTTTTTTCCATTCATAAAGTCTACTGTGCAAATTTTGCTTTCATTAAAATCTGTATCAATGAATTAAAAATCAAGAAATTCCAAAGTAGCTTTCTTGTCTACAGCTATGTGATATTATTTAACATACCAACAGTTGACAGTAAAGCTTCCACTTACATGTTTTACTGTGCAAAACCAAAAACAACTAAAAACAGATTATCTTGAATTAACATGAAATAGAATCTTCATAACATATCTTTTATATCCCTTAAAAGAATCTTAATCTGCCTCATAACTTTGCATAGCAAATCAAATACAATTCTTTTCTTCTCATGTGCCATTTTAATACAGTGGTCATCCTCTGTAGACCACACACACACACACACACACACACACACATATCTATGGCAAAGAAGCTTTCTTCTAAATCGACTGTACTTGCATGCCCTCAGAGACTTAATCTTGTTGCTGATGAATATCCTCATGCCTAAGAATTTTATAGATAACCCAGTAGAAAATGTTAAAAATCAAAAAGGCTAAGGGGAAGCAGGCTCTGGAGATGGTGTCAATCTTCTTGGCTCGGTCGATAAAGACTTTCCTCATTTCATCAGGATTTTTCGGCATTACCTGGACAGGATGGTTCGGGCCCTTGGGGGTCACACCATCTTTTGCTTGCAGACAAGGTCCCATTCCATAGGCCGTGAAGCTGAATCGATTCTCTCTCACTTCATCATCCTACCAGAGAAAAATGTAAGGTATCCCTTTATGAATGGGATAAAGTATGTGCTACTGGCATTCCGAATCCTAATTTGCGGTTTAACATGATAAATGTTGACATGAATATGAGGAAACGATAACTGAAGCAGACAAAGATGAATTGCTTTTGTAACTCCCTGAAGAAGTTTTTATTCATTTGTCCTGCTGCATCATGTACATGTGTCCATTAATAAATATAGAACTCTCAAAAGTACATTTTAATGGAAAAATTCTAAATATTTTGATATTGTATACATATTGTCAGTATATCTAAATACAGAGACTAAGAAAAAAATGATTGGAATATTCCATGATATACATTCATATACTAGATTCTCCACCATAGTATCTTTAAATATGTATGTGATAGCATAGGGAAAAATACCAGGATCATTGACTCAATTTTTTTTCTTATGGAGGCAAAACATTTAATGCTCGTTTTCTACAATTTTAAAAGTTACTTTCATGGAAACTATAAGATAAGACTGATGAATTTTTGTTATCTTCACGTTCTGTACTTCTGCTTTATATTACCTTTTTGGAAGACTTGTAAGATAGTCATATATTCCAAACTATATACAATTACTTTTCAGATATATTGGTTCTGTTGAAATTATGAAGGGAATTTGGCAGGACTTTTTCATGCTATAAAAATAAACTACAAACTTATTACTAATTACTCATTATGTTCTAAAAAGTGTCTTTAAATGTGGCAAAGTGATGAGAATTTTCATGTATGTATATGAAAATAATACCAAAACTTAAAATTTTCTTAACAAGCATATGATAAATGAGATGTATTCATGATGAAGAAATGTTATTTAATCATTTATAATGAATTCAACCTTGAATAATAACTTACTTTTATGCATTTACTTTGAAAGTAATAGCAGATGACTACCCATGAATTATGAATTTATTTTCTATTAAGGTAGAAAATGTAAAAGATAACAATTAAATCATTTACCAAGCTGTTATCTCTCTCTGGTGGTATATTATTTCATAGTAATATAAAAGATAATAATGGTAGCTCCAATTCTTGAAAATGATTTTGGGTCTGTGAAAACAGCTGCTTAATGAATAATATATAATAAAATACAAAAGTAAAAATTAGAAATTATTAAGGATTCTAAAAATGAGATGACCAAAGATGCTGCAATAATGTCTAAAATAGTATGCTGGGAATTACAAAAAAAAGGTAACTTCACCTGAAAAACAAAAGCATATAAACATTGGAATTGTATTTCAACTGTAGGCTATTAAGGGGCTATTTTACATTTACATGATGAGGTGCTGAAAATGTTAATTGAGCCACGTGGGAAATTTATTACCAGCATGCTAGGATTTCAGGATTCGAGCCGATGAGTTTAGTAAAGCAGAATTCATTAACTATCTTTCTAACCATCTGTTCTGGTGAACTTATTTTAAAATCTTTATAGACCCAGGTGCTCATCTCAAAATAGAAATAATCTATTTAAAATTAACATATTTAGTGAACAATTAAATTTTTCTCAGTTGTATCTTTCCACACCACTGACTGTGAGTAAAGGATTAACATGAGGTCTGTGCTGACACAGGACTGCTGAGAATGACCCTGGATTCATAGTGCATCCTTTCCTTGGAAATGACAGATGAGCTAAATACAGATCTGGGGTCAGCCTCAAATGCTGTGAGGGACTGCACTGTACTTGGCAAGCCATACATTGGCTGAAGGCTGTTAATCCATATGACTAGCAGGTATATGAGTTTGGTTCAAAACAAAGCTATCACTAACAGTGTCAAGGTGATCATGAACACCTTGACTTTTGTCTGTGAAGGCTGTACCTGCATGCCCTGTGTGGCTGAGGGGGCAAAAGAAGCTGTGTTCTTGAGAAACTGCTGCGTCTCCCATGCCATGAAGACGCTTTGCATGATGTTTCCCGCCTCACATCCTGCTAGAGAACTGAGCATTTAAATGTAACACGAAGTTAAAGCCTGACGGTGTCTGGAGAGTCACAGTGACTATTTGAACCCTGAATCTCAGGAGTTGTGATAGAAGTGACCAGGCTTTCAGGAGCTTTCAAACTTAGTATTGCCATAGTTCTGGGAGGGAATTCTAAGGAGCACCTGATGCTGATTTACTCTGAGTTTGAGGAAGAAAGTTGGCTCAGAACACAACTAATTATTTGTTTCCTATTAATTAATTACCCTCATGAAACTAAAACCACTTGCCACAGAAAAATAAGTAAGTAAAGCAAGCAGCTTCATGACTTGTCTCAAGATGAAAACAAAAGCTTAGTTGGGACTTGGAAGACTGTTGCACTTAATCTTGATGCCACCCCTCAACAACCCCAAGCAAGTGACATTGGACTCTGGTGACTATAGAGCAGCCCTGCCCTGATGAGGTGTAAATTTTAAACCTTACATTAATTAAATTTTTAAAAAGAGATATATTTTATTTAACTTTATTTATTTATTTATTTATTTAAATTTTACCAGACAGGGACAGAGAGAGAAAGGAGAGAGGGAAGGAAAGTAAGAAAGCAAGCTGCCAGGTCTGGGACTTGAACATTGTGGGAGTTCAGCACCCTTAACCATCATGCCACCTGCCGGTCACACAATAAATACATTTTAACAAGTTAAAAGAAACATGTGAAATTAATTTTAATAGCATTTTTATTTAAAAATAATATTTATTTGGGTCAGCCATTGGCATGGTTAAGGCAGCTGGATCCCACATGGTCAACATCTTTGCAGTTGGAATCCAAGACAAGTGGCTTGAGAAACACACTGGGCACATATGCACCTGCCGGTCACACAATAAATACATTTTAACAAGTTAAAAGAAACATGTGAAATTAATTTTAATAGCATTTTTATTTAAAAATAATATTTATTTGGGTCAGCCATTGGCATGGTTAAGGCAGCTGGATCCCACATGGTCAACATCTTTGCAGTTGGAATCCAAGACAAGTGGCTTGAGAAACACACTGGGCACATATGCGTGCATGTCCTGGAATCCAAGACAAGTGGCTTGAAAAACACACTGGGCACATATGCGTGCATGTCTAGAATCCAAGGAGGAGAAAAAACTGTTGTATGACCATCCCTCCTGGGGATGATTTCTCATTTTCCCTCTCTCTGACTACCACATATGCCCTATAGCAAAAGCCAAAAAAAATTATGTTTAATGTCAAAATATTATTTCAGGGCTGTCTTCATAGCCTAGTAGTAAGGAAGCCAGATCCCACATAATTGATCATAGTTCAAATCCCATCCCTAGCAGCTTGCAAAACACATCAGGCATATGTGTGTGTGTGTGTGTGTGTGTGTGTGTGTGTGTGTGCTTCAAATCCTGACATGATGGAGAAACAAAAATGATAGCAGCATGACCATGCCTCATTGGGGTGCTTTCTCCCTGGCTCTCCATCTCTCTCTTATCAAGTGCATATGTCCTACTGCAATTAAAAAAAAGAAAACAAGAGCATACTATTTCAATGATTATTCAAATACAAAATTGAGACTTTTATGCTATTTTATATTGAGTACTTAAAATCTGGTGTTTTACTTATATAGTATATTTCAGTTCAGACTTCACATGTTTAGTGGTCAGTGAACACACGTTGGGGTCACCAAACTGGACAAGCAATGTTAGTAAAAAAACAGCTGGGTCACTCTGATGAGAAATGCAGGCAATATCCAGGCCACCTATGATTTCCTGGATCTTTAGATTAACTGACCCAGAAGGTAATAATATACAAAGAACATTCAAACAATTTATGGAAAATAAATATTATGGAAAAAATCACATAGGTTTCATTTTTTTATACCAAAATAAACTTATATTTTACAATAATTCAAGTTTTCCATGACCCTTTGAAGTCCTTGCATAGTTTTGGATGCTGCAGCATGAAATCCAATGTTTAGTGTGGATGCTAACCCCTAACTTGCTATACTGTTGCCATTCAGGAATTATGAAAGATAATGTCTATGGCCTTTCTGGAGTGGGTGAAGGCTGCATAGTGAATCTACACTGAAGAGGGAAACTATCTGGTCTTCTCACTACTATGAAATACCACATCTACTTAGAAGAACAGATATGTTAAGTGTATAGCAAACCTGTACTAGTCATGTGATAGTTAAAAGTGACTCTACTCAAACCACATCCTCTAACCTAAACTCTGGTAGACACTTAAGTTAGAAGAGCCCTTTAGGCATGGGTCTCCCATGTGCCCTTCTATTTGGGAAGGCAAGACAGTATCTAGATTCATGAATACATTTCTCTTGAAGTTATTTCACTGGATTTCACTGATGGGAAGGAAACTGGGGAGTATTCAGAGAAAGATCGTGGTCAGAGGTAAATCTAGCTCTCTTTAAATCTAGACCACTAAGACAAAATGAACACAGCAAAAGTTGACAAGATTCCTGTGAATAATTTCCTGGCATATTAGCATGAGCCAAGAGGAAAGAAATTTGTTTTAGTTTCAGCATCTGCCTCCTCTAAGGTACCCTGTTAAATGTGTTCCTTTTATCTCAGTAGTTAAATCCAATGATGCCAATGGGAATGCATTGTAGTAGTTATGAAATAGTACAAGATCACAAAAAGATACTGTGAACTCTCAGATCTGATTTAGGGTCTTGGCAGAAGATAGTCCTCATTAATTTTTTGTAGACTAGCCTATCTTGCCAATGATGAAACCAGGTGGGTCCGTTAGGCCGATGGATTACTGCTTGAGTTCAATAAAGCATTCCCTCAACATTCTCCACTATGCTGAACATAGTAAAAACTATTTAATAGTTTCGACAGGACAAAGGAGGCTAGTATGATTTGACAGACTTTACTAGTGCTTTCTTTTTCATCTCAATCTAAAAGAAAAGAAGTCAAGCAAAGTATGCTTCCATGTGGAACGGACATGATAATATTACTGTTCTTCCCTAAGTTGGAACCAGGTTCCCTGCACTCTTTAGCATATTACCACAACTTGGGAGGAAACAATTTG